TTTTTTTCCTGTGGAACAATGTTGAATATCTGACATCTCAATAAGTGTAAATCACCTTCATTTCTCAAGTTGTCTGAAAAACAATGACTGACTGGCATAAACCAAGAATATTCAAGTATCACCAGCAAATCTTGACATGGATCAGTGATTTACTCAGTGAAGTTTGTAATCAAATACTAGTGTCATTTAAATGTGGATCTGATGGCGAAGCTGTCAAGTGAACAAAACGTTGATTTTGAAGATGATGAAAACAAAAACATTTTGACATTAACTATTGAAAGTTTCAGATCCCCAATATTAGCCAGTTGCTGAATATGTTAAAGGTGAAGAAGATGCACCCTTCCAACAGATCACAAAATATGCTTTGTAATTTTTATTAAAATCACAGGACAGTTTTATACTATTGGGGCCGTTTAGAGATCGATCTGTGTCAGCTATAGGTTCTAACCTGAATATACAACAATAATTATTGGCAAAACATTCATACATTTATGGGTTAATTCAAACTTTAGTGTCTTTATGTTTGAGGTCCCAAAGACGCCAGTGCTGTATGTTTAAAAATACATCCAAAATGAACCTGTTTCCCTTAATTAAAAAAAATTAAACCCAGTAGACAAAAGTTTTATTTTTACATTTATTTATTTTTTTTAAATCCAGGATTGTAAAGTTAGGATTGTTACTTAAAAATGGCATTTACAAGCCATTTAACTTTAATGTTATTTGAGAGTAAAATTCATATATAAGAAGTAACACATTATCAAATATATTAGCACTGCTTTTGTTTTTAGCCCATATTGGCTGTGATAACTTAAGCTTATATGTAACATACAACTGTGCCAACATGGACAAATGCAACCAAATCTAATAAAGGGCGTTTTTTTGTTTCTTATATTTACTGTAAATCTGGACACCACATTTGTTACATGATATTTACAGCGTATTAAAGGAATAGTTCACTCAAATCTGTCAATTACTCATCGTCATGTCATTCCACATCTATATTCAGTGAATAATGACTTAGATTTCAGTCTGTTCCTCACATAAAACTAATGAACGAGTCTCATGAACTACTTTTATGATGATTTATGCTACATTTATGTTGCTTTTAGTCCATTTCAGAGCTTGAAAGCCTTTAATGTTTTCACTGAATGGAAAAAAAAAGCAGTGTGAACATTTGTCATCGCTTGTATTCTAGAGTATCACACGGTTTGGAATGACATGTTGAGTAAATGATGAAAAAATAACGACGTTCATTGTGTGATTCCTGTTTTCAGTCATGTGAGCGTATGAGAGCTCGATTGTTCTTGGGATGCTCTTAGTAGCATTTGAGACATTACTTAATTCTTATAACGCTAACTGAAACAGTATTTATCATAATGGCGAAAAACCATTACGAAGCATTTATGATATTGAAGATAACGACATGGACTTGATATGTTCACTACTGAGTATAAACGCACTCACACTTTTGACCTCTGTCAAACACACAGCTATGGAATCAGTGCATATACAGTAGAAATAAAGGCTATTTGGAAAACTGTACACATTTTGTTGAATGTTTCATGCTGGCAGAGGCATTGAATTTCTTCAGATGATGTATTTGACCTATGTCGTACACTCACACACATACAGCACGCACAAACATGTAAACACTTTCCTGGACAGAATGTTCATGAGAACGTTTGGCTACCAAAGATGAGTCTCCCGGATCTCTGAGATAATGTTACTTGCTTTCTTGAGCGCCTAAAGGAGAAAGCAGAAAGAGCAGCATTAGTAACACAAAGCAAACTGCATAAAAAACCTGCTGGTTCTGGATCATTAAACACCTAGTAACTAGCCATTTTGGGGAATATCAGACTAAAATTATGAAGCTACTAACTTAACTAAGTTTTTTTGTTGTTGTTGTTGTTGTTAACCTGCCAGCAGCTCAGATTTTTGTTTTTATTTGTTGCTATTTTTTTGTGCTATTTTTATTGTTGGTCAGAAATTATGATCAATAATTATTAAATATAAAAAAAAAAAAAAACATTCTTATTATTATTATTATTATTTAACTAACAAATACTTCTCTAGAGCAGTGGTTCTTAACTGGTTTGGCCTTGGGACCAATAAAATAAAAGTTTTTGTTCACATAGTATATGTGTCAGACTCCGTTCCATGTTTTGTGAGAATTCTTCTCAGAACTCAGTCAATTACTAATGTTAGCCTGTGCTGTGTCATCCCAGGTTATCTTACTTGGTGATTTTAACATCCACGTTGACGCTGTCTGCTCTAATACTACTCAACTATTGACTGTACTGGACGTTTATATATTTATTTATAATATAAATTAGATGAATATAGACATGTAAATACATGTAAATATTTTTAAAATATATACTGTATGTGTGTGTGTTTATATATACATAATAAATATACAGTACACACAGATATATTATGTAACCGATGAACTGTGAACTGATATACATCACGCTGCAATTGACGAGTGCGCACTACAAGCACGGTATAACGTCTGACAGGACAGAATAGTTCGTCTTTCTGAGGTGAGAGACTTTTTATTTTGTAACAAGTTACGAAAATAACGATAGGATAATGACACTCACATTAACCCTGACAACATCTCATCAGACCGCAGACACTGAATCGGGACAGCGCGCTTTTCTCAGGCACTCTTTACTTAAACTGCATCTGACAGAAGTGTCGACAACAGCTTTCATGCACGTCTTTTAAAATAAAAGTCTCGCATCAGAAAAACATTTAGAATTACGTTTTTTGTTGTTTCTTTGATTGTACACTCCGTGACCCGCTCAGAGTGGTCTTGCGACCCACCAGTTGAGAAACACTGCTCTTGACTCAACTTAGTTTCCATCTCTAATACTATACACTTACTATATACTTATACACAAATACACACCAAAACTATACACTATTTAAAAAATAATAAAAATAACTGGCTTAACTTATTTCTAAGACCAGTGTAAATGTGAAGTTTTTGTTTAGATGTAATTTCAGTTGGTTTAAAATACATTTTAGTGCAACCTACTGATGAATCATGATTTCTGTATGAACACTATCAGTTACTCTTTAGAGACTAATTCTTACTATTAACTAACTATTAACTATGACTTTTGTCTCAATCAACTTCTAATTTGCTGCTTATTAATAGTTAGTACTAATAAACAGCCAATATGCTAGTAATATGCATGCTATTAAGCAACTAGTTAATAGTGAGAATTAAACCTTAAAATAAAGTTACCACACTTTCATATGCAGTTTTTACACAAAAGTGTGTACAAACACGTTTAGTGAGTAATACTTATTGTCTGCTATTTTTATTAGCTTACTAACACCTTGTGTACAAAATGTGTTACTACTACAGTCCATTGATCATGAGTAGCTTGTAGCCTGACAGTCTGCGGTTTCAAAGTAGCTCTCCAACACTGATAGTTAATATGGTTGAATGTTTGTTGAAGACACACACTGTGCACACAGAACACATTATTGTGCTCAAAAACAGCTAGACATCGCATAAGAGTACACAATGCATGGCTGACATGCAACATTTGCTGTAGTGCGTCAGAACACCCACCACACACCAGCTATTAAGTGCAATGGATTGGAAGAAGCGTCTCGTTTTTAAAAGTCGGACAACTAATTTAACTAGACGTGGCATCTGAAACTGCCAAAGATGCCCGCCTTGATGAGTATGGATGTGGCGGTACTTAAGATGGGATGGATTTAAAGACAACTTTTATGAGAGTACACACAGCACAGCAGACTCTCAGCATGCGAACTGAAACGCTGCTGCTAAAAATATATAAAACCTAAGTTAAGTAAAACTACTAAGTAGTAGTAAAGCATTCAATATATGCATATGATTTTCTATTCAGAAGCCATTAAACTTATAAAAGTTATAAAACTTTCATACCTCATTAATGAGTGAATGTGCAAATATTTTATAGTTTTGAATGTTACCATGTTATTTACAGATTACTAGCTTTTATTAATTTTTGGTTACATTTTATGTAAGGTGTCCTTGTTACAGTGTAATAATACATAGTACTGATTAACTACATGTACTTACTATATGGTTAGGGTTAGGATTAGGGTTTGGTTTAAGGTTACTTGCATGTAATTATGCATAATTTATTGTTATTATAGTAGTAAGTACATGTAACGTTTAACAAGGACACATTAAAAAAAAAGTTAAAAAGTAATTTTTTTTTATTAGAAAATCTTTGAAATTACAAATTATACATCAACTACAGCAAAAGTGTGATGCAAGAAAATAATAATTTATCAATATTTATGAGAAATGTTATTTGAATATATCATTGTATGAAATTTATAAAAACATGAGAATTACCAGTATTAAATTAAATGGTTTTTACTAAATTCCTTTTAACTCATGGCTACATATTAATCTACATATCTACAAGTCTTCACGAGTCTACATATTAAAATAATTGTCTACCAAAACAACATCAATATTAATCTGGAGTGTATTAAAACTAAACATATACATATCACTGACATACTGTACATTTTTACTCCTAGATGAAAAATATTAGTTTTTCATGCAGCAGTGGTTTCTCAATAGACATGTATATTCATGTTTACCAACAAAATTTAGTCCCAAAAGTGTTTGGGAAATAAGAGAAAAAAAAAGTTCAATATTTTTGAGAGAAACTCATAAAAAAAAAAGCATAATATCAGGTGTAAGCCAATAATGGCTACACACACAAAAAAGTAACTTTTTTAAAAATGGTTACATATCTTTAAAAAAACTCTTAAATAAATAAAAAATAATAATAACTGGTGTGTATTTTGATAGTCTTGGCCTATTTGCACAGCCTGGTTCCTATTCTAAAACCAATAATTTTTAAATTCATTATTTTATTCATTTCTTCCAGGTCAAAACTGACCCCAATGCATTATAAGGTTTAAATGTACTTCAAAAACACACAGACGTACCTCCAGCATGTGTGCAACCTCTGTGCGCTGCTGAGCAGTTTCCTGAGACTCGATGAGCAGCTGCTGCAGCAGACGCTGCTTGTAGAGCTGACCGACCAGCTCACTCTGCAAATGCTCCTTCACAAAATTCACCAGGAAGTGCATCACCGTCTTTGGCACACTACAGAACGCAGAAAAAAAAGCATCAGATGCGAAGTGACTCCTGGTCATCCAGTTATGTGGCACAATGAATCTGACCTGTCCTGGATGCTCTTGCGCACGATCAGGAAGTAGCACTTGATGAGCCGCTGGATGACCTCACAGTCCCTCTGCTCTCGAGTGCTCAGCTTGCGGGATACTGGCACGGCCTACAGAAACATTTTCAGAAGTTATTCGTCTTTCACGGGTTTTCTCTGAACGTGCCGGTATTGTTGGCTTCTGTAGTTATGAGATAGTACCGTGTCCAGCAGGTTGATGGCTTTAGTGGGACTCCCAAACCCTGGCACGGGGCCTTTGTCCTCTGACGGCATCTTCTCATTCTTCCATCGCTTACCTCCATCCCCAGCCTCCGCCTGTGAAAGAGACGATAAAACAAAAACTACTCCCATTTGGATTTGGAGAGAGAGAGAAAGACGGAGAGACAGAGAGAGTTTCAGTACCTGCTGGCTGTTGACAGATGCAGACACTTGGGCAGCGTCTGTGAAATCAGGATGTTTGGTGTTTATATAGGCCAACTCGATTGCAACTAGATTATGAACCTGAGAAGAAGCAAACATGAGTTAACATGACGACACATTTTCAGAATTAGCCAAAACTGTGCTCTGAATGTGTCATGTGCTCAGGATTTTTCTATATTGTGTGTGTGTTTGCAGAATTAAAATTCTGCCTGATATCAGTAAGGCAGATGTTGGTATCGATAATCTTTTTCAGTTACCACCAATATGCATGATATTAATTACATTTAAATAAATCAGTATACTATTGCCTGTGGAATTTTGCAGAAATGGCAGCACCTTAAAATAGACATGGATTTTATTATAATTTGATAAAGATTACAATTAATGGTGCTGTTAGAGTTAGTGTTGGATGATGGCAAAGCTAAATGAAATGTAACAATTGGGGAAATAAGCATGCACACAATTACATATCCAATACTGGCTGCTAACAATAAATGAAAAACAAAAATAATAATAATATTTGGTGATATCAATGAGGCAATAATTATTTTAATTAGGGATGCACCGATACCGATACTGGTTATTAGAGATTAAGGATGTCTACGAAGTATATGTATACAATGAATATAATGTTAAACATTCAGTATTAACGCCTGTATAACTGATGTGTGCGAGCTGATAAGCAAAGCACGCTGAATGGATTGAGCGCGCGGCGGCACAGATGCGCGAGTGTGTCGAGTGAATATACCTTTCTCACAGACATCACTGGAAAGTATGTAGTTCGGTCGGATATGTCAAAAACAAGTAAGTAAAACAATGCACAGGTTACTTAATGGTAGAGAGAGAGAGAGAATCGGCAAGTACCAAAAATAAAAGTATCGGTATCGGGCGAGTACTGAAAAAAGTGGTATCGGTGCATCCCTAAATGGCCAATATTAACATTATACACTATTTTATCTTAATAAATTTAGAACACAACACTAAAAATTAAAATCAATTATGACGTGATCACATTTACCACTGTTTATGTTTGGTGAATTTCCGAACTGTGGATTTTTGTTGAAAAACCAGTTATTTCAATAGGAATTTTGTGTGAGGGTGAATTATTTCTCCACACAAATTAAGCAGTGGTTTCACCTTAACTTTAACTCACAATGTGAATTTAGGCATCACAACAATATAATGTATTGTATGAAAAATGCTGATTTATTTTGTTAAGATTTGATGAAGATTGAAAAAATGTAAAAATATGGGGAATGAGCATACACAATTATATATCCAATACTAACCATGATACTAATAACCTCATATGGTCACACTTTATTTTAAGGTCCAGTTCTCACTATTAACTATGACTTTTGCCTCAATAAACTCCTAATTACTGCTTATTAATAGTAAGGTAGTTGTTAAGTTTAGATATGGGGTAGAGATTAGGGATGCAGAATATGTGCTTTATTAAAGGGTTAGTTCACCCAAAAATTTTCATACGTCATTCCCCCGGAACTGCTTCTGTGTACAACTGCTGGCGCAAACTAGATTAAAGTTATTATTACGTTTTGAATATGGATATTTTTCTTACAAAAATGCATCGATTCGCTACAGGAGGCCTTTG